TGGACAAAACCTGATAAAGACATTACAAGAAGGGAAATCTCTCTCATGAACATAGATGCAAAATGTCTCAACAAAATACTAGCAAATCAAATCCAACAACGTATAAAAAAAAAAATTATGCACCACAACCAAGTGGGATTTACTCCAGGTATACAAGGCTGGTTCGATGTTAAAAAATCAATTATTGTAATCCATCACATCAACAGATTAAAGAAGAAAATATTATATGATCATATTAATAGATGCAAAAAAAGCACTTAACAAACTCCAACACTCATTCATGATAAAAACTAAATTTTCTGTATACCTAGAACTGCTCTAAAAACAGTCTATCAATTTTTAAAAAATCACCTCTCCACTTAAAAAAGAAAAGAAAACATATGGAGCAATTTCTAACCTCATTATAAATCAAAGAGATTCAAATTAAAACAATGTCTAACAAATCATCATCAATTTAAAAATTTATTGGTAGAATCTTTTAGGAAAGGATTTGGCAACACGTACCAGAAAATGACTCATATTTTTGGCTTCTACCGAAACTATCCTAATGAAATATTCTAAAACATATTAGAAGCCACATGAATAAAGATGTTAAGGACACATTATTTTTATAGAAAAACCAGGAAAAAATCTAAATGCCCAAAACAGAATAAATGGGTTAAGTAAACAATCAATCATATATTTGCTTAAAGGAATATTATTTTTTGTCATTAAATGATTAAGTCTTTATTATAACACTGCAATGCTTACTAAGTAAGTGATAAATCCAGACAAACAATTCTCCTGTTTACTATAACTGTGTACAAATGCATTTGGAGAAAAGTGTCACAGGAAGTGTAGTATAGTCAAGAACTCAGACTCTGAAGTCAGAAGGCATGACTTCAAATCCTGGTACTACCATTTTCTAGCTGTATGACATTGGCCAAATTACCTAACTTGTCTCAGTTTCCTCATCTGTAAAGTGGGATTTAGTAATACGATCTGCCTTATTGGGTAGCTAGAAGAGTAAATGACTTAATAACCTGCAAATCTCCAGAATAGCGATGTTGCTATAGTGAACTGCCAGTAAGTGTTGGAATCGGCTCCATTGGCAGTGGGTGTGGTTTGGGGTTTTTGGTTATTGTGAATACAGAAAGGTGCTAATAGTCATTGTGTTAGGGTGATGAGATTCTGGGTGTTTTAATCCCTATTTTCTAAACTTTCTACAGTAAATCCTATGAAAGCCAGAACCTCTATAAGGCAGAAACCTGTCAGAGAAGGAAAACTCAAATATTTTCCACTAAAACGAGTGATAGAAAAGTGGTAAGACTGCACCCTGTCAAAGGCAGAAAACTTGAGAGACCCAGAAAAACAAGGCAATCCCATCGAGTTGCAGCTTTCACAGGTTCCACTGTATTTTAATATTAAAAATTATTTTAAGAGGAAGCTTTGTTTCTATTCAAGGCTAATCCCTCTCTTGCCTATTATCCTAATTCCATTCCCTTTTTCTTATCCAGGATCTAGCCATCCATTATTTCCTTTGTGTTATCGCAAACTCCTTTACTGATGCACTAAATAAATAAAAGGATTCCTATATGGAATCTTCTCTCTCTTCTTTTCATTGTCATTCTTCTTACAGAAAAAAAAAAATTCACAATAGCTTTCTCCAACTATAATTTCCCATTTACACTTCAGCATATTATAAGGTGAATTCTTCCTCTACCATGTCATTTAAACAATGTTGCTAATTTCCTTAATGTCCAAAGCTAATCAATCTTCATCCTATTAGCCTTATCAGAGATGTTTTAACATGGCTGGCCATTCTCCTGGAAACTGCCTTCCCCGTCCTATCACATTTAGAAAGGAAGGTGTGGGAGGTAGGAGGAAGTAGAGTTTTTTAGAATTGCCTATGATGGAAACCAGAAGCTGGTGTCTGCAAGAGTGTGAAAGCAGGTCAGAATCCATAGACCACAGAACCAATACAGAAACAGGAACCAAGCATAGTCAAGTGAGAAACCAGTGATCACAGTGGCTGGGGAAATCCAACAAGGGAACCAGAAAGTAAAATGTGTCAAAGATAAAAGAACACCCTGAGACCCAAGGGGAACAAAAGTCTGCAGACCCACACAAAATTCTGCAGGACCCCTAGGACTGCTTCATTTGAGTTTCACTCTTGAATCTCAGTGTATAGAATATTTTGTTTCCAGAAAGTCTTAAGGATGCTTCCTTTAAGTTCCTTAATACCACCCTCCCAGATTCGCCTCCTTCTCCTCTGATTGTTCTTTCTCCCATTTAATCGTCCATATTTCCTTCCACTTATCAAACATATATTTACTGAATACTTGCTATATGGCAGGCATTGTGATATGCCACTGAATGTACACAGTAAGTAAGATATGGTCCTTGCTCTCAAGAACTCACTTTATTGACATCTCTTTCTCTGACCACCTCATAAATGTCAATGTTTCCCAAGGTCCTTGCCTAGACTTTCTTCTCCCATTCTCACCAATGGTTCCAACTCCCAATTAAAGGTGGACTCTCAAAACTTTACCTCCAGTCCTCACCTCCCTCTTGAGCTTCAGTCTCACATTACCACCTATCTCTCTGGCTTCTTCACCTGATGTCCTGGAGATATCTCAAACTCAGCATGATCAACACTGGATATTCATTTGTCTCCAAACCCAAACAGATCAATAGAAATTTCTAAGTAACTCATCAACGTCCCTTTATCTCACCACATGGATCCACTACTGGATGGCAATTCTTGTCAATTTCATCTCCTACAAAGCTCTCAAAACCACACTCTCCTCTCCATTCTTTCTAATTCTACATTAATGTCAGGCCATTATCACTTTGGAATAGCCTTCTAGCATTCTACCTGCCACTCAACACCCTTCCAGTCCATCATTACTACTGATATCAGAACTATTTATCTAAAAGGCAAATTTGATTTATTTCTTCTGTCATTAAGGTCCATCACTGACTCTGTATTCATATGCTTTACCCCTGCATTTGGGACCTTTAGATTTCTTCCACTTATTTCCTCTCCATCTTTATCTCTCAACACCATGCTAGTTATACAGCATGCTTATGTCTCCCAAGTACAAGAAGCTTTGGTCATGCTCTATGCCTTTCTTTGCCCACAATATTCTAATCTTGTTTTTCCATCTGACAAACAGTGACACCTTTTAACATTAGCTCAAATATTACTTCCTCTGTAAAGCCTTGCCCATCTATTTCAAGCAGTGTTGTTCAGTCTTTCCACTGAGCTCTGTGCTAAGTGTGCACTTGTATTAAGAAAGAATCACACTGGTTTTGTATTCATTTAGGCATCTATATAATACCTATTTAGTTGTCTGTCTCCATCACTGTAGTGAACACCTAAACCTAGAGGGTAGGGATCACGTGCTATTCCTTTTATATTGCCCTATACCTAGCACCATTGCTGATGTGAGATAGATCTTGGCTGAAAGCAAAGAATACCAGAAAGATGTTTAGCTATGTTTTATCGACTATGCAAAGGCATTCGACTGTGTGGATCATAACAAATTATGGATAACATTACAAAGAATGGGAATTCCAGAACACTTAATTGTGCTCTTGTGGAATCTGTACATAGACCAAGAGGCAGTTGTTCAAACAGAGCAAGGGGATACTGCGTGGTTTAAAGTCAGGAAAGGTGTGCATCAGGGTTGTATCCTTTCACCATACTTATTCAATCTGTATGCTGAGCAAATAATCCGAGAAGCTGGATTACATGAAGAAGAATGGGGCATCAGGATTCGTGGAAGACTCATTAACAGCTTGCAATATGCAGATGACACAACCGTGATTGCTGGAATTGAAGAGGACTTAAAGCACTTACTGATGAAGATCAAAGACTACAGCCTTCAGTATGGACTGCACCTCAACATAAAGAAAATAGAAATCCTCACAACTGGACCAATAAGTAACTTCATGATAAATGGAGAACATACTGAAGTTGTCAAGAATTTTGTATTACTTGGATCCACAATCAACTCCCACGGAAGCAGCAGTCAAGAAATCAAAAGACACACTGCATCGGGCAAATCTGCTGCAAAAGACCTCTTTCAAGTGTTAAAAAGCAAAGATGTGACTTTGAGGACTAAGTTGTGCCTGACGCAAGCCATGGTATTTTCCATTGCCTGATATGCACGCAAAGGCTGGACAATGAATAAAAGAAGACTGAAGAAGAATTGATGCCTTGGAATTATGGTGGTAACAAAGAATATTGAACATACCATGGACTGCCAGAAGAATGAACAAATCTGTCTTGGAAGAAGTACAATAAGAATGCTCTTTAGAAGCATGGATGGCAAGACTTCATCTCCTATACTTTGGACATATTATCAGAAGAGACCAGTCCCTTTAGAAGGACATCATGCTTGGTAAAGTAGAAGGTCAGCAGAAAAGAGGAAGACCCTCAATGAGATGGATTGACAAGTGGCTGCAACAATGGGCTCAAGCATAACAATTTTGAGGATGGTGCAGGACCGGGCAGTGTTTCATTCTGTTTTACATAGTGTTGCCATGAGTTGGAACCAACTCAACGGCACCGAACAACAAACCTAGTACAATGCCCACCACAAATCTTTGCTGAAGGAATTACTAACTCTCAGAATAAATAACGAATAGAAAAAGAAATGTTCTTTTCCATTCATTACAGGAATGTTACAACACAACATGAATCTTGGTGAGAGGGTTGAGAAAATGACGATTGAGGAAGGAAATGATGGTCAAAAGAGAAAGGAGGAAGAAATTAGGAAGAACCACTGGTGTGCACAGAAAACAAAGTAGACATTTAGAAAGGGAGTCCGAAAATCAGAGGAGATCAAAGTAATATGTGGAATGAGTCCAGTGGGGCAAGGGAGGATATCAGAACCCAATGGAATCTTTGCAATTTCACTCTGCAAGTCCAAACAAGTCTAAAATCACTTTATCATCACAATAAATACATGACTATACATAGTTCCCAAAGAAAAAACTGGAAAAAAACTTACACTTGGCCAGTGAGGCGTTCGATCAAAAAATTTTCCAGAGTATATGGGTCTGATGCAATGTGGAGGCTCCACTTCTAGTTCAATGTTTTCAGCCTCCTCCTTTTTCTCTTCCGGTTGCCGGGCAAACTGGCATACAAGGGGTTCTATCACTAAGCCCATTTGGGGCTCTGGCTCCTCTGGTTGGGGTAACCCAGTGTCCACCTCCACTGGATGCGTCATCTCTGCACTGGGCTTCATCACAACACAGGTGGAGTCTTTCTCCAGTTCCTGTCTAGGTTCCACACCCAAAGCAGGCTGCTTTCCCACTGAAGCCTCTATCCCTTCAGGGGCACTAACCACAGGCCCTCTCCTGCTCTCTAGAACCTGTGGACTTCTACACTCCATGCCCAAGGGAGGCTGTATTATCCTTCCATGGGGACACCCTGCCAGAAGACACTCATTTTCTAAACCCATTCTTCCTGGCGACATTGCCAGAGAAGGTTTTGTTTCTGGAGAGACTGAGATCTTGTTCACTCCTAAATCACCCCATTTCGTGGGGACTTTCAACCCCAATCCAGAAATATTCTGTTTTTCTAATCCCATTTCAAGGCCCTTGCTCAGTGGAGATTTTGTTCCTTGTGGCCCCATTCTCTTCTCATACTTATTATTAACCATGGCGCTCTCGCTCCATCGGGAATCTTCTTTTCCTAATCCTACTCCAAGCCCCAACTCCGTGGGAGACTGTGTTCCCACGAGAACCCTCCTGTCTCCTAAGTCATCCTTGCCTTGGTGAATGAGTCCGACCTTCGAGCTCAGAGATTTCCCCCCAGACACCTTCATTCCACCAAAGGCGCTCATCTCTGAAGGGAAAGCTGCACCTGGCTCGAGGGAAGTTCTCAATTCCCTGGGGGTCTCCACTCCCTTAGGGGACCCCACTTTCAAGAAAGAGCACATCCCCACTCAGACTGCCTGCCCACCGCTTTCGGCCTGCCAGTTAACACCTAACGGAGTTTACACTGGAAAAGGAGATGGAGGACTGTTTACCCAGTTACCTAGGAAACAGGGGCGGGGCTTGGCGCGCAATTCTTGCTCGATTTGGTCTCCGCCTCCCATCTCCTTCCCTCTCCCCTCCTTTTTTAGTTTTTGGTCCCCGCCTCCCCCTCCCCTTTACTAGAAGTTAGAGCCATCTACATCCTAGGGGTCTACCTAGCCAACTAAGGAATGGATTTGCTCCTCTTCCCCTCCGGGTGTAGGATGAGATTGAGTGGAAAAATCTTCGCTGGATTTGTGGGGCGGCTTCTATCCTTTCAGAGGCAGAAATGGGCTAATTTGGGGCAAGAAAACTTGAATAATATAGCCTTGGGCAAGAGATCAAATGCTTACCAACTTCTCATTCATTTCCTAAGCAACACAATCCCATTAGGATGGTTTCAGCCATGGGCTTCTTCCTGGCCACTGGCCTCTTAGATTTTGTGGTTGATCAGGGAATAAATATTTTTTTCTGGTGCTTACCACTTTTAGGTCTTCCCTAGTGCAAGCACATCTTCAGTGCATGTAGTTCTTTCAGCACTAAAGAACTACTTTAAATTCTGTGAAGTTATAACTTGGCAGCTGTGATATAGAAACATCTTAAAGTCCTTAGAAATACTTTAATAACTAGGCTTTAAAAAATACATTAAACTCTGAGATAACTGTTGCACAATAATGCGTAGCTTTTTTAATACCATGACAAACTCAAAACTTGTTTTAAGCATATGATTTTTTTTGACTTTGGAGTTACTCTGTCAAATTTTAGTGAAAATGTATTTCGATGTATCATGTTCTACACACACAGGGGATACAGAACACCTAGCATGGAATTTGAATGGAATTTACACGATTCTACAGTCTTTACAAGACAACTACGAAAACTTTGTTAAATTCAAAGTGACTAAAGGAGACTATATCATATTTTAAAAAACTGTTTAAAATATAATTTTCTAGATAGTTAATATAAATATCCTTCTCCCCCTAAGTGCTTTAAATGACTTGTTGTTGTTAGGTGCTGTCGAGTTGGTTTCAACTCAGAGTGACCCTGTGTACAACAGAACAAACCACTGCTCGGTCCTGTGCCATCTTCACAATTGTTGTCATGCTTGAGCCCACTGTTGCAGCAATTGTGTCAATCCATCTCTTTGAGGGTTGTCCTCTTTTTTGCTGACCCTATACAAGCATGATGCCCTTCTCCAGGGACTGGACCCTCCTGATAACAAGTCCAAAGTGCGTGCATCGACGTCTTGCCATCCTTGCTTCTAAGCAGCATTCTGGCTGTACTTCTTCCAAGACAGATTTATTTGTTCTTGTGGCAGTCCATGGTATATTCAATATTCTTCACCAACACCATAATTCAAAGATATCAATTCTTCTTTGGTCTTCCTTATTCATTGTCTAGCTTTCGCATGCATACGAGGTGATTGAAAATACCATGGCTTGGGTCTGGCACACCTTAGTCCTCAAAGTCACATCTTTGCTTTTCAACACTTGAAAGAGGTCTTTTGCAGCAGATTTGCCCAATGCAATATGTCACTGACTTCCTGACTGCTGCTTCATGGGAGTTGTTTGTGGATCCAAGTAAGATGAAATCCTTGACAACCTCAATCTTTTCTCTATTTATCATGATGTTGCTTATTGGTCCAGTTGTGAGGATTTTTGTTTTCTTTATGTTGAGGTGCAATCCATACTGAATGCTGTAGTCTTTGATCTTCATCAGTAGGTGCTTCAAGTCCTCTTCACTTTTAGCAAGCCAAGTTGTGTCATCTGCATATCACAGCTTGTTAATGAGTCTTCCTCCAATCCTGATGCAGCATTCTTCTTCATATAGTCCAGCTTCTCGGGTTATTTGCTCAGCATACAGGTTAAATAAGTATAGTGAAAGGATACAACCCTGACGCACACCTTTCCTGATTTTAAACCAAGCAGTATGCCCTTCCTGTATTCGAATAACTGCCTCTTGGTCTATGTACAGGTTCTGTACGAACACAATGAAGTATTCTGGAATTCTCATTCTTTACAGTGTTATCCATGATTTGTTATGATCCATACAATTGAATGCCTTTGCATAGCCAATAAAACACAGGTAAACATCTTTCTGGTATTCTCTACTTTTAGCCAAGATCCATCTGACATCAGCAATGACATCCTTCGTTCTGTGTCCTCTTCTGAATCCAGCTTTAACTTCCACAGTTATCTGTCAATGTACTGTCGCAACCGCTTTTGAACAATCTTCAGCAAAATTTTACTTGTGTGTGATATTAAGTCCCCCCCGTGCCCACTGTTGTTGAGTTGATTCAGACTCAGCAACTCCACAGGGTTTCCAAGGTTGTAAATCTCTACAGAAGCTGACTGCTACATCTTTCTCCTGCAGAGCCACTGGTGGTTTCTAACCATTGACTTTTCAGTTTACAGTCAACCGCTTTAACCACTGTGCAGCCCAGGCTCCCTGGTGGTGCAGTGGTTAATCTTTTGGCTGCTAACCAAAAGGTCAGCAGTTCAAACCCACCAGCCACTCCTTGGAAACCCCATAGGGTAGCTATGAGTCGGAATCAATGGCAACGGGACTTTTGGTTGGTTGTTTTTGGTGATATTAATGATATTGTTTGATAATTACCACATTCTGTTGGAGCACCTTTGTAATGGGCACAAATATGGATCTCTTCCACTCAGTTGACCAGGAAGCTGTCTTCCAAATTTCTTGCCATAGATAAGTGAGCACCTCCAGTGCTGCAACCACTTGTTGAAACATCTCACTTGGTGTCTTACGCTGGGTTCTCTAAAGAAGCAAAACCAGTAAAGTGTATAAATATATATATAGAGAGAGATTATATCAAGGAAACAGCTCGTGTGATTGTAGACGCTAGAACGTCCTAAGTCCGTGGATCAGGGTAGAGGCCTCTCCGAACTCACACAGCTGCAGAAGCTGGCAAGCCCAAGATCGGACAGTCGGAGAGGAGGGCTCCCACTCACAGGCTGTGCAGATCAACGAATCCCAGGTTTGGCAGATAAGCTGACAGCTCAAGTCCCAAGAACGGGAGATGAGACAACAGGAAGCAGCCGCAGGATCCAGAGAGCAAAAAGCCAGAACGTCTGCTTATATACAGATGCGGGCCACACCCCCAGGGAGACTCCCTTTCATCTGATTGGCTACTCACAGTATATTCAATCATGGGAGTGATTACATTAAAACACGGAGAATCATGGCCCAGCCAAGTTGACACACAATCTTAACCATCACACTTCGTATTCCATCAATTCCTGAAGCCTTGTTTTTCCTCATTCCCTTCAATGTAGCGTGGATTTCTTCCTTCAGTATCATCAATTCTTGATCATATGCTACCTCCTGAAATTTTCCTGGTAGAATCCTTCAATATTGCAACTTGAGGCTTGAATTTTTTCTTCAGTTCTTTCAGCTTGAGAAATGCCAAGCGTGTTCTTCCCTTTTGGTTTTCAAACTCTAGGTCTTTGCACATTTCATTGTAATACTTTACTTCGTCTTCTCAAGTGGCCCTTTGAAATCTGCTGTTCAGCTCTTTTATTTTATCATTTATTCAGTTAGCTGTAGCTACTCGACGTCCAAGAGCAAGTTTCAGAGTCTCTTCTGACATCCATGTTGGTCTTTTGTTTCTTTCCTGTCTTTTTAACGACTTTTTACTTTCTTCATGTATGATGTCCTTGATGTCATCCCACAACTCATCTGGTTTTCAGTCATTAGTGGTCAATGTGTCAAATCTATTCTTAAGATGGTGTCTAAATCCAGGTGGGATATACTCCAGGTTGTATTTTGGCTCTTGTGGACATGCTGTAATTTTCTTCAGCTTCAACTTGAGCTTGCATATGAGCAATTGATGGCCTGTTCCACAGTTGTCCCCTGGACTTGTTCTGACAGATGATACTGAGCTTCTCCATCATTTCTTTCCACACATGTAGTCTGTTTGATTCCTGTGTATACCATCTGGCAAGGTCCACGTGTATAGTCGCCATTTGTGTTGTTGAAGAAAGGTACCTGCGATGAAGAAGTCAGTCTTGAAAAATTCTATCATGCAATATCCGGCGTCATTTCTACCATCAAGGCCATATTTTCCAACTACTGATCCTTTTTCTTTATTCCCAACTTTTGTATTCCAATCACCAGTAATTATCAATGCATCTTGATTGTATGTTTGATCAATTTCAGACTGCAGAAGTTGGTAAAAATCTACAATTTCTTCATCTTTGGCCTTAGTGGTTGGTGCATAAATTTGAGTAACAGTCGTATTAACTGGTCTTCCTTGTAGGCATATGGATATTATCCTATCACTGACAGGACTGTAGTTCAGGACAGATCTTGAAATGTTCTTTTTGACAATGAATGTGATGTCATTCCTCTTTGTCATTCCTGGCTGGTGTTTGAAATGCCAGTGGCATAGCTTCCAGCATCACAGTAACACACAAGCCACCACAGTACAACAACCTGACAGATGCATGGGGTTAAATGACTTGATGATGTCTAAATCAAAGTTTATCTGTATAAAGGGTAATTCAGTTCATTCATTCTGCAAATATGTATTCAGTCCCTACTTTGTGTCAATGTTGAGAATACAATGAAGAATAAGCCAAACCTTATTCTTATGGAACTTAAATTCAAGAAGGGATAGACTACCACAAAGAAACCAATAAATAAGATAATTTCAGATAGTAATAGATGTTTTGAAGAAAACAGAATGCTTAGATGTGTTCAGGGGCGAGGGGTACTTTACAACTGGTGGGTGTGAAAGTCCCTCTAGGCAAATGACATCTGAGCTGAGACCTGAATGATGCCCCCACCCCCACCCCCCGAAGACACAAGCTTTTTAAACATGACTAACCTAAGGATGGAAGCCCTGGTCATGCAGTGGTTAAGAGCTTGGCTGGTAATCAAAAGGTCGGCAGTTTGAATCCAC